GTCTTCCAGAGAACATATGGAAGGCTGGCCTGAATTACCCAGATCCACGGATCCAATAACTTTCTCATCACGGACGAGTACAGATACACTGGCAGTGTGCGCATAAGCACCTTCATATTGTCATCGTACGATTCAGCAGCAGTATAGTTGGACAGCCCCAAGAATGTTCCCGGGAGGCGCAACGCGATAAACAAAATACAGATTATCATACAAATAAATACAGCGACTTTTCTCGTATGGTATATAACCCTGGCCAGGCCACCGTCAAAATACGTCTGAATGCAATGAGGACGTGTCCAACGGAGGTCATTCCCTGGATACTCCATTCGTGGACTACGTGCACGGCACATAAGGAGAATGTTTCATAGGTAAAACGCCCAACAGCCAAGAGAAACGCACCCGGCATTGCCAGAGCCATAGAGGTTGCCTGTATCAACAGTACTTGTACGAGGTAAATGTTGAAAGGAGTGTGCAGTGAGCAATAATACCCATAGTAACCCAATACCAGTACGGCCAAAACCAAGGAAGCGGCATACAGATACTCTGGTAGTAATAATTATAATAGCGCGTAATCGCTGATAGTATAAGGTAGGGTTCGACGCATTATGGCGAAGGGCAAAGTTCACAAAGGTGGAGATACTGGCTGTAGGTAAGTAGAACGCTTGCAATCAAAAAGGCAGGAATTGCGCAAACCTGGCTGTTTATAAACTGCTTTATGGAACAGCAAATTAGACTTCGAATATCCCGAAACGTCTGGAAATTTTGACCGTTGTCTGTATCGTGCGGAATATTTGCGCATGAATCGTAGTGCGTCCGATCAACGCAGACGTGCTCACCGTCGCAATCGCTATTGTCAGGGCGGGCTTATGATTCAGCCCTTCTGTCATTGGTTGGTTTTGGGTTTTTTCCTGTCTGGGCATTTGCATGCTTTTTCACGGCCTGCAGCACAGCTGTGCTGGCTGCAGGATCCGTTTTCTTGGCAGTTGGTTTTTGGCTCGCGCGCAAAGCGCGGCGGTGTGTTAGATTTCTGCATTAAAGCCTCCATCCGGGTTTGCTTTTGTTCCGCTGTCGATGGAGGATGCGCGCTTAGCCAGCGCCATCTGATATGGTAGCAGCTCACGGAGACGTTCGTGTGTTGCACAGCGGGCTTGCCCCGCTCACGGGCCACCTCTGAGTTGTGGACCAGATCGCGTGATCGCGCCCTGTGCCAACCCCGGGTACGGAGCTCACCCGGATTTCCCGTCAGTCGCCGGAGCTGTGCCGTCACTCCCGCAGAACGCGGAAGAAACTGCCTCTCCCAGAAAGGGATGGAGATGTCGCCAAGCCAGAAGTGCAGCGATGGACGGACAAACCCACAGCCACACCGTACCGATGACGAAGGCCGACGGTGGACGCAACCCGGACCAGCAGGAAACCTGCGGACCCTTCACCACCACCAACAGCCATGCCAACCCCGATCCCCACGGCCGGATCGACCACCATCACCACGCCGAGAAATTCCCCCCCCCCCCACCAAAACCATGCCCGTCCTACCTGGGACAACAACCTTTCCCCCGGCGGAGCAGCTGATTTTCCCTACCCGGAGCAGCGTATTTTTGTGTTTGCAGGGTCATGGCCGTACCTGTGCCCCAAACCCCTGCGCGATTTTCCCCAGACGGTGACCTTTTCCCAGACGGATAAAATGCGGAATCTACCGATTTCCGCATCCGACCCTGGATTCTGGCGCGACAGTGCGTTGACCCAAGCACTGGACCGCCCGTGGCCGAACCCGAGCCAAACCGACCCAGAACCATTCCTAAACCGAACCAGATCCGAGCCGACCAAACCGGGACCGAGCCGACCAAACCTGACCGAACTGGATCCGATACCGGACCACGTGAGCCGACCGAACTGGAACCGAGCCACCCGGTAGTACAGTCTATTAGACATAGTACAGGGACCGTACCGGTCCCTGTATCCACTGTTCTTTTACGGCAAATCACGCCATTTACCTGCACTTCGCAGGAGCTCAGTGTTAGACCGTACAGGGATGTCAGGGCGGGCTTATGATTCAGCCCTTCTGTCATTGGTTGGTTTTGGGTTTTTTCCTGTCTGGGCATTTGCATGCTTTTTCACGGCCTGCAGCACAGCTGTGCTGGCTGCAGGATCCGTTTTCTTGGCAGTTGGTTTTTGGCTCGCGCGCAAAGCGCGGCGGTGTGTGTTAGATTTCTGCATTAAAGCCTCCATCCGGGTTTGCTTTTGTTCCGCTGTCGATGGAGGATGCGCGCTTAGCCAGCGCCATCTGATACTATCCCTGAAATTTTTGCGAATGCAGTATAAGAGATCCGGAAACGCGGTGCTCGGACAAGCCTATGCTGTATACATAGTACAAAAGTAAATCGTAAATTTGGTATCCTGTATGGAAATAACTGCTTTTGCAATTTCTTTTTTTCTGTAGTTAGACCGCAAAAAAATTGTAAGGCATTCTGCATTATTTACGCTGTATGCTTTCTTATGAAAAATCATTTTACTGCGACAACTACACATAGACTGCTGAAAGCTGAGTTGGCTAAGTGATTGCGTGTTAATGTTGTGCGCTTCGCTTGTTGTAATTAGGAGTAACAGGATGTTATTCATGGAAAAATAATAGGCAATAGGTATGAAAATAACGAAAAGCGAATCCGCGGAGACACTGCTGCACCGTTAAAATTTAAACACTGAGAAAACAATTGCATTTCTTTTTCCGGTTGTCTCGATAAGAGCTGCATGTTCTGAGGATGGAGAAAGAGTTTGCCGTACCAGTTGTGCTGGTAAGATTCCCGGCAACCTGGCTTTTCTCTGTACGGAAACAGCATTGCATGTTAGCTGTTACTTGTGGCCTTGTGGGTAACGTTAAACAGTTATCGGTTCTACTCACAGCGCAGGAAGTTATTTTCCTTGCGCTTCGGAGAAGTAGCAGGATGCTAATAGCATGAAATAAGGTCTGACAGCTGACATAAGAATCCTGTGTACGAGGCAAGCGACAACTCTTTTCCATCGCTTTAGTAAATTTTATAACTTTCCCTTCTGCGTCTTACCCGTCTGCAGGCGCTCACGTGATACTTGATTTCAGCCGTTTCACGTCGGTTTGCAGCTATAGTTGATTGTTCAAACTGATAAAGAAAATAGAGAAGAGCACGGCAGACGAGATTTTATCGCCGGCTCAGTAAGCGCTGATTACAGTGGATACGATATCAGTATCACGTGAGCGCCTGCACACGGGTAAGATGCAGCAGGGAAAGTGATAAAATTTACTAAAGCGATGGGAAAGAGTTGTCGCTTGCCTCGTACTGTTTTCAGCTTGATGAGATGGATTTTAATAAAACGGCACGTGCCTATGTAAATAAATATACTAAATAGTAAATAATGTAATAAATACAGTATATCGGAATAACCGACGTATTGCAGTTACCGTCAAAGAAACTACCGAAAGTCTATATTGTGCATTGTATTCGTGCTGTCTGTCATTGTTGTGTCTGCTGCTTCCTTTGAATAGTGGTAAATGTATGTATGTAAACGCAGACACACGCCTTTCAATAGCGACAAACTTTTCAGTTTTGCTCGTTTGTCCTTCCGGATTACTGGAATCTCATTTACCGAATTCACTGAAGCTGACAATAATTTTATAAAATTATTCTTCCTTATTACTCCTTTAGCATTTACTAAAATCAGCGCAGCATTTACTAAAATCACAAACTAATAACTAGTGTCGAGCGTTAAATGCGCTAAAATACGGCCGGAACGGAAGTCCAGACAAGAGACACATTCACAATTGTGCTGAGTGTGAAAATTCATTCATTCATTGGTATACATATAACATAGTTGAGAACAACATGCTTCGTATTGCTCGGATAAGCCCTTTCGGTGGTAATGTAGTGTAATGGAATACGAACACATGCAGGCAGAATGCAAATAAATCTCATACACACCCTGACAATTATTGAATTTCAAAATTATCACGCCAAACTGCATCTGCTGTTTCTAATACCTAAGAAGAAAACATAAAACCGCTACCAACTACACAAGCAGTGCTGAAAATGTTGTGATGTACAAACGCTGCAAAATCTTCGAACATGAATAGGTACCTCGAGCATCGATCATCGAACATGCAGCGACTGCCTTGACTCACTGTAACTACCAACAGTACGACCTTAATGTCCATAACCGGATACCGACATCAGTCAATGCAGGCTTATCAATACAACCGTATAGCCGACAGTGGCCCGAAACCAACGAAAATGTGTATTAAAAAAGTTATTGTATGGGTACGTGTATTGAAAAAGTTATTGTATTTAGCGCAGGACATTGGGGAACGGTAAACCAGATGTTCATCTGGTTTACCGGGCTTCATGAAGCCGATCATGCTGAGTATTGCCAAACCGAAATCGCAGATCGCCACGATGAGGAGATGTAAGAACGTTTGGACATCGTATAAATGTCGTCATAAATAGTAGATTGTACGTCACGGTAGAAAAAAAACAGTGCTAGCCTAATAGAATTTCAATGGAATCTTAATGACGACATGGAGCTACACTCCTGCTGGCTGCTCATATACGAGTACATGCCCGTCGATGTATTCCTACTTTTGTTGAACTCCCATCCATCAGAAAATTCAAGTTATTTTTATCAGGTTCGACGCGCATCAGACATGCCAAGCGCAAGTAAAGCGTAAACGCGTGGCGGGCCGTAATAGGTAATACGTATAAAGCTCATCGTATGCATAAATTGGCGTTTAATTTTTTGCTGCAGCTTAAGGTAGCGCATAAAATTATCTTCCTGACTTATACTGCAAGCATGTTGTTTGTTTGTTGTTTGGCCGCAAAGCTTCCGTTGTCGCGTGCACTGAACTGGCATTGACAAAATTAATTGTTACTACGTTTGTTGGCTTTTCTGCATATATTTTTGTACATCGATTCCGAGAAGACACTGCGCAACAACGACAACACCAACGGCCACGTACAGGAAAAATAATTTAACGGCATGTTTTGACAGCAGTAGCAAACAAGGCTTCCGCATGTTGTTTATTTTCCAGTGTGTTTTGTACGATTTATTCTTGTATATATACAATACTAGAAGCAGCACTGATTTTTAATCACAGTCCTGAACACAGACTACGAATTCATTGTGAATTTCTATTTCTGATTAGTATTCTCATTGTCGATGCTGAGTGCAGTTTTATCCTCTCGGAAGTGTTAACAATGAATTTTCTACGGTTGTTCTTGCTGTTGGTTGCGACAGCTTCGGCGCTGGTAAGTTATTAACTGGAATAATTAATTCGCCTCGTTTATATCTCCCTGTTACGACCATATCCGGTTTGAAAAAAGCTTGGTAAAAATGTTCACTCTTCGTTGCAGTTTGTCCATATCGATGCCAAAGACAATAAAGTAAGTATAACTATGCGCAACTAATTCCCTTTTGATACAATATCTTATAAGAATCTAGACCAGAACTTTTCACGGATGTGCAGAAGTAATATCTGACTATATAATACTGTCCGCCAGTATTATTCGGGAAAAAAGTTACCCGTCAGTTACGTGGTGCACTTTTACTCTCTTAACTATCATAATCACCTTTGTTGTTAATTATAGCAGCCGACCCAAGAGGAGATTGCAGAGCGGTTGGGACTAGCTTCCAAAGTAGTTTTAAAACAGAAACATTAAATGCCAAATGTATCACTATTCCTGTTACTAAGATATCGTCATTATTTTGATGTTATTGTCGTCATTATTTCGACTTTTCTGTACAAAATCTCAGTTTCTGGAGTAAAGTTACTGGTTAGCGTTGGCATATTAATGTGTTCTCCTGGATTTCGTTGTTGCAGCAGTGGTACTTAAAGCGAATGCACGGATGTAATGCATTCATCTGGAAAGGATTTCCGCATCTGTAAGAAAAAGACTACCAGAAAGAGAAAAACAAAATTCTGCCGGCAAACACTTTACCTTCCCACAAAACTTTTTTGCTTGTCGAATATGCTCGAAGAGATCGTTAGCAAAGAAAACAAGAAGACAAAATGACAACACCAGTCAATAACTGCCGGAAAAACAATTATAAAAAATTTATTGTCGACAAATCGTAAATTATTGTCCACAAAAAGACACATCAGTACTGTACAGGGAAATAAATCATGTTGCACAATACTCGTAATGTTGAAATTTAAAAACCGGTGGAAGTTAACCGCGGGGTTTTTGAATTTTTCGGCACCGATTCACTGAGTTATTGTACGTACAATATGTACACGAGCCGTGCACATACAGTACGAAGTACGACTGAGCGCTAAAGCGCCATCCATAAATTACGTCACGCAAGTAGGGGGAGGGGGGAGGTCCTGAAAGCGTTACTGTTTGTTACAAGGGGGAGGGGGGCTTTAAAAATTTTTTACGATTATGACTTCAACATGCTATATCGATGGAGGGGTTCTAATTTTGTTACGTAACGCTCAGGGGAGGGGATCTCGGTTTCCTGGCATTAGTGACACAGGGGGGGTGTCAAACTGTCCATTTTCGCGTGACGTAATTTATGGATGTCGCCTAACCCATTGCATGTACTGTAATCAGTTTAAAAACAGTACTTCGAAGTATACTGCGATCTTTTAAGAACGGTACACTGTACTGGTTTTTTAATTGCATATTAGGCGAAATACTAACTCCGTAGGCTTATAAAGCTTACGGGTTTAATTATTACAACATTGTTTTTATAAATTTGTCAGCTGAATTTCCGATGACAAATTTTCTTAGCTTCCCGATATTCCCCGTAATAATGAATATTTTTCGTTTGTTTTTGCAGTTGGTAATAGTAGCGTGTGCCCTGGTAAGTCTTTGTATCCAAGGCCAATACTGCTTAAAAATAGGCTACTGCATTTCTTAATTTTGACAGCAACGAATTGCACAATTAAGTCTATGCGTACCAAGGGCAGAGAATGGGACTGGAAAATGCATTTTCTGGCTGAAGGAGAACGCACATAATATTATACCAACATACTACTGTTACTGTAATGTTACTAGTACAATACTTACTACGTACATACTATTAACGTTGGTTCAATGGGTATAGGAAGATCTTCGATCCAGATGTCCTATAGTTCGCAACCCAATTTAATTTAATGCATTTTTTCTAGTATGCCTGTGTCGACGCCGGTGGAAAACGATGTGAGACAAAGGAGGCAAGCAACAGCTTTAAAAATTTTATATATTAATGCATATAAATATGATGACATGTGTGTAATTATATGAATTACAGGCCAGTTTTTTCCAGCCGCTAAATCGACTCAAATTACAGCCAGTGCCAGAGCTAACTTCTGAACGGTGGCATACAGAATGTCTATTTCTTTAAAAAATCTTTTGCTGCTTAATGATGAGTAAAAATGTCAAGTTTTCGCATTCCTTCCAGTACATCGTAAAGAAAAAAGTAGCTCGACATTTATGCATTTTAATGCGCAAATTCGTAAAAAGTTTGCTATCCCGCAGAAAGCGGTCAGAGAGATGAAACAACTGCGGCAGGATATGCATATAAGCCAGCTGGAGCTAGCGAACCGGATTGGTGTCAGTCAGGCAACAATCAGCAAAATGGAAAACGGACAGGACGTTACGGCGAGCCGCTTACTCAAAGCTTTTAAAGCCATGGGAAAGACAATCAACATTTGTTGAATTGGTTGTGCTCAACTGTTCTCACACCATAGCGAAATGAATGATGTAACGACTCGCACACTGCCTACTGTACTCAAATTTTAAAAAGATACTGAACGAAATGAATGTGTTTGTGTCTGATGGTACACTGTATTTTGATATTGGTTGCTTGCTGTTTAGTGATTTTTCTGGTTAATCGCATACAGTATGTTGTCAGCGGTACGTATAATCCGCGGCTGTCCACAGCTGCCTTTTGAACAGCTTTTAACTTGTGTACAATACTGTTCTGCGAATTTCTTCGTAATGCTGAAAACAACCCGTTAAGTGATCGAATTAAGTGTATTTGCAGTGATTAATCGATTTTTAAGTGTTCAAAACAAAAACTGCTGCACACACTACTCAGCAACACGCAACCGGCTTTCCACAAATTTAGCGGTTTACGGCCTCTGTTGTCTTACGCTCGTTAAGTCGTCTGTAAAAAAATAGTGCGCGTGCAAAGTATTTTAAAAATTTTGCACACTAAGCTGGTATCAAACCGTATCATCAGTATCAAGATTCAGATCTATATTGCAACGAATGGGATACACCAGAGCCGGCAAACCAGAAAAGACTGACCAAAACCAATTTTATATTCTGAAAGCCCGAAGTCGAAAACCCGGCCAGATAGTATTCATTTCTTTTAAATCCTCTCCCGCTTCGAGCGCCACAGCGGAAGAGTTTTGACTACCTTCACCAAATGTAACTAAATTATTATAATCCTATATATTAAAGCAGAGATGTTTGTTCGTCACGTTCCCGCCTCCAAAGTTTACTGATTGGCCAGAACCAGCCTTAGCTTTCTGACTGGCCAGAACCAGCCTTACGTTTCCGATTGGACAGAACCAACCTTTCGGCTTTCAAGCTTATAACTTTTACTAAGCTTTCGAAACCATAGTGTCTGTACCAACATTTACCTGATCAACCAGATCAACCAGGCCTACCTTCAGCCTTCGGCTTACTAAGGTTTCGAAACCTTAGTGCCAGTACAAAACTTTGCTTGATTAGCTTGAGCCACCAGATCAGCCAAAACTACCAGATCAACCAGAACTGCCAGATTAACCAAACTACCAGACCAGCCAGAACTACCAGAGTAGCCAGAGCAGCCAGATAAACAAAACTACCAGACCAGCCAGAACTACCAGAGTAGCCAGATCAGCCAGAGCAGCCAGATAAACCAAAGCTGCCAGATCAGCCAGAACTACCAGATCAAGCAGAAAATCCCGAACCACCAGATCAGCCAGAACTACCAGAAAAGCCAGAACCACCAGATCAGGCAGAACTACCAGATCAACCAGAACTGCCAGATCAACAAAAACTACCGGACCAGCCAGAAGAACCAGTGTAGCCAAATCAGCCAGAGCAGCCATATAAACCAGAGCTGCCAGATCAGCCAGAACTACCAGATCAAGCAGAACAGCCCGAACCACCAGATCCACCAGAACTACCAGACCAGCCAGAACTACCAGAGCAGCCAGATAAACCCGAACCACCAGATCAGCCTGAACTGCCAATTCCTCCAGAAGTGATGTTTCCAAACACACTAAGCCATCAACGTTAGTGAACGTAAGCTTTGGAAAGCTAAGTGCAACTAGGCTTTGGAAACCTAAGTAGAACAACAAACACAGAAAAACTTTGTAACTGTGAGCCACGCGTGAAAAATCCACGTTTTTGATCCTTTGGTCACCCAAGGCAACGCGTGCGGTATTCGCTTTATTTTGCCTTTGGTCAACGCGTAGGGTATCCGCCTTATTAAACCTAATGTTTTTTAAGCCTTTGGTAACCGAAGGCCCTTTAAGTGTTAGGTCACCAAAGGCCTTTTAAGCCTTTGGTCACCGAATGTCTTTTAAGCCTTCAGCCACCGAGGGCCTTTAAAGCCCTTGGTCACCAAAGGCCTTGCGTGCGGCACCCGCCTTAATAAGCCTTTCGTCACCGAAAGGCTTTTAAGCCTTTGACCACCAAAGCCTTTGGATACCAAATACAACGCGTGCGGTATCCGCCTTTCTAAGCCTTTGGTAACCAAAGGTTTTTTAGCTTTCGGTCACCGAAAGCCTTTTAAAGCCTTTGGTCACCATGATATTTAAAGCTTTTGGCCACCGAAGGCGACGTGTATGGTACCCGCCTTACTGAAACTTTGGTCAACGGAGCCTACGCGTGCGCCACCCGCCTTATTAAGCATTTAATCCCAAGAGCCCAGACGTGCCATTCCCGCTTCATAAGCCTTTAGTAACCGAAAGCCACGCGTGCAGCACCTGCCGTTTTGAGCCTTTGGCCACCGAAGGCCACGCGTGCGGTACCCGCCTTTTTGAGCCTGTGGTCACCGAAGACCACGCGTGCGGTACCCGCCTTTTTAAGCCTTTGGTCACCCAAGGCCACGCGTGCGGTACCCGCTCTTTTAAACCTTTGGTCAACGAAGGCCACGCGTGCGGTACCTGCTTTTTTAAACATTTGGTAACCGAAGGTTACGCATTATTTGTCCAAGCTTTTAAGCGTTTTGTAACAGAAGAATTTCGGTTTAGCACGTTTCTAGATACAGTAACTGTATTACCTTTTCAATAAGACTTACTTAGCATAAAAAACCGTATCACTTCCATTAGTTTAGCAAAATAAGCCCAGCCTACAAGAACCGCCTTTGCACTGCAGCGCGGCGCGTAAGCGCCGCGCGCTGTGCTTGTAATAATTGTCATCGTGGTATTTTTAACCAGGCAATGTTGCCACGTACACCAAATAAAATATAGTTAAAAAATGAAAGTATTTTCCAATAATTAAAATATCAGAAATAATTTAATTACAGTAGCAGACCGGTGGCGTTATTGCGACGAGAACGACTACATATCCAACGTTGTCATCGAGGACAATTTCTAAACAAGTGCCGACCAAGCAGCGACAGACAGAACTGCCGCCACTGTTCGGTGCACAAGCCCGTTAGTTGACCGAAATACCACTACATTCTAGTAAAAATAGCCCGCTGAGCCAGTGAGTGACCGAACTGCAACTGTGGATAGCTATGTGAGCGGTTGACCGAGCTCTCATTACTTTTCAGTGTAAACAGCTCGTTAGGGAACGAGTGACCGAGTTACCACTACTGTCCGGTGCAGAGAGCCCGGTAGGAGAGCGGGTGACCGCGCTGTCACTAACGTCCAGCGCAGAAAGTCCGTTAGCGCAGCGGGTGACCAGGCTACCAATGCTGTCCGGCGCAAAAAGCCCGTTCGGTGAAGGAGTGCTGAGCTGCCACTACTGTCCGTGCACAGATTCCGGAAGTTGAGCGGGTGACCGAGCTGTCACTACTGTCCAGTGTACAAAGTCCGTTAGGTGAGCGGGTGATCGAGCTAACACTGCTATCCGGCGCAGAAAGCCCGTGAGGTGAGCGGGTGACCGAGCTGTCACTACTGTCCGGTGCACGGAGCCCGGTAGGTAAGCGGGTGACCGAGCTGTTGCTACTGTCCAGTGTACAAAGTCCGTTAGGTGAGCGGGTGATCGAGCTACCACTGCTGTCCGGCGCAGAAAGCCCGGGTGGTGAACGGGTGACCGAGCTGTCACTACTGTCCAGTGTACAAAGCAGGTTAGGGAACGAGTTACCGAGTTACCACTACTGCCCGGTGCAGAGAGCCCGGTGGGTGAACGAGTGACCAAGCTGTCATTATTGTACAGTGTACATGAGTGACCGAGCTACCACTACTGTCCGGCAAACGGAACCGGTTAGCTAAACAAGTAATCGAGCCACCACTACTGAACGGACATACACCACTGGGCACACACCAACTTCCAGTGAAAAGAGCCAGTGAAGTGATAAGTTACCGAACTAGTGACCCAGTGCCCTATCACTGTTTTCAATTTCACACCTTATAGACTGATATTTCGGCTTTCTTTTCGGGTAGGGGATGCTTTATAGGTTGAGAGAATCATGAACTGACTTTCATATAAAATTCGTGTTTGCCCTATTGAATGTACCGATCATGTTTCGACGAATAGACTGATGTTAATCTAATAAATATTCATTCAAATTCAAATAAAATGGCCATGGACCACAAGAAACGCGGATGCGAAGCCGAGGCTGTTTCTTGTACAGCATATATAACCGGCGTACAGAGTACATACATAGCGCGGCGTTCTTTACCGGTTTTGCGGTTAATAATTCCAAACATGGAGCTGTATTACATGTTTTCAGTTTTTCTTGCCTACAGTTTGCTGGTATTGGTAAGAATATGAAATTTCATCAGATTTGTAAAAGCTTTACGTCATTTCGTGCCTGGGCGTAGCCTTTACAACAAATTAAGCGCAGTAATTTGGGTTGGTTCAACTTGATTGTATTGAACTTTGTGCTTTCTTTCCTCAGTGTGGATTCAACTTGATTGTATTGAACTTTGTGCTTTCTTTCCTCAGTGTGGACATGCCGACGCGAAAGGCAAAAACTGCAAAACCTCTCAAGTAAGGGCTTACCGTTAGTCGGTTCGTAGAAACACCTGCTCACGTTTAGTTCGGCAAGTTGTCCATTGGACAGCTACCGTGAAATGCAGGAGTGTTTCCATTTGTCACGATCAGTGTTGGCCAAGGTTTTAAAATATCAAACAGCATAAGTTAACCGTTTGCTGACTATCCGTAATAGCGGAAAATTTTTGTAGAATTTTCCCGCATTACGGTGGGGCCGGAAAACGGCGGCGTTTCGGTAAACGTGACGGTTAATGGGGCGGGAAGGCCGGCTAACGGGACAGTAACGGAGCAATATTTTTACAAATGGGCCACAGCCCAACATTGGTTGCTGAGTTCTTGTTATACTGAATTATGTGCATCGTGGCATGTCCGTTTTCATTATGTAATAGCACCAGAAGCCCTTCAGTTGTTCGCCAGACGGCAGACATACAGACTACGCACAGCTGTCATTTAAAATGTCAGCATCATGAGTCGCGATCTGCACTGAAAATCATATTCCTTCAGTATCCGCAACCATGCAGGGATGAATAGTGTGTTGCGAAAATTACTTGTTGTGGGGTAAAAAGACAATTCTGTCCAATCTGGCTTTTGGTAACACCGTGTGTCCGGGTGATCAGATCATGCCGAAACCGTGAAATACTATGCATCGACAATTACAGCTGCCGGTTTTGTTTACTGCAATAACTGAAGGCTCAACACTGCTAATTACCGAAGATTTGCGAAAATGAATGGGATTCATAGGATCAATCGTTTTATTGTCGTGGCGATAATAACAACTGCTTTGGTAGGTGTCTCTGAGTTTATAGTTGTCAACGCATTCTCGTAAGCATGACTGCACATATGCCGGTGCTGGGCATATTTTTGATTACCTATGTTTTCCCAGCTCTTCCCTTCCCATGCCGCCTCCATAAAGGTGAAACATCCGGTAAGGGCATCTGTAGTAGGTTTTTCCACCAATCTCTCTGACCGATACTAAAAAACAATAAGACCTTTATTAGGTGCCAGCTTTTCTTCTGTGTCAACATTTGACCTTTTATTATTATAGGATTCTGGAAAGCCTTCTCAGCAAAAATCACCTGGTCCCACACAGGAAGAGCTGACGAAGTTTCACAACGGAAAACCCATGACGCAGCAGAAAATTGCAAATTCCCTGCAGCACAGTGTTGGAGACCTAAGGAAGAAACCGGAGAACAGTCTAAATTTTGCCGGTAGAGATCAATTTTTAGGTACATTAAGGGCATTTGAAAGTTGAATTAATTGCGTTGTTAATCAGAAGAAATTTATTATGTCGTTGTCATTTTATTTATGACCGCCTCTGGCATGTACTTTTTCGGCACAAAGGCAAGGCTTCCTAAGTATAATTTGATTTTGGACATTCTTTTGTATTGATGTTGATAAAGATTAACGAGATTCAGAAGTTCAGTACGTTGTATGCACGCAACAGCGGCAGTCTCAAGCCGTACTAAGATGTTATCATGTATGTATTGTACGTGCGTGTCGATCACTCAAAACTGGACGCGTGTGTGAATTTCAAACAAACACTGCGTTGCGACAGCAACTGTCAGATTTATCACGTACAGTATGTATCAATTACTGTACTCGTATGGATGAAAATATATATATTATTATCAATACGTAACGGTTTACTACATAGTACCTTGTACTTAATAGTTAATAGTACCTACTTCGCGCAGCGGTCTGTCAAGGCATGCCAACGTTTCATTTTTTATGTTCCTAGTAATTTTTTGGCTGATTCAGGATTCGATTTTTAATATACGGATGTAAGTGTAACGGATCCTTCTTTGCGTGCCGTCACTGCCGTGTGAATGTAAGCCAACCCAGTGGCCACGCACGCAAAAATTTAAGTAGTACAGGACAGTGGACACAATGATGCAACCACAGTAATACGACGAACACGATGCGCACTTCGCTTCAAATCCACCGTTCGTTTGGAATTTTATAGTATACGGTAAAATAGGTATATACGCTCTTGCGTTCTTCATATTTTTACGGATTATCCACTGTAACTTCTGCCAGTTTAAATTAAAAGAGTATTATAATTGATAACTGTTATTTGGAATTTTGAAACGTTTAGCCTTGATTCTGCTTTATGAAATGACTGACGAAGCATTACTTATAACTCCAGCTTGCCTCCATCCTACGGCGTGGCTCTTCGAGATCTCCATCGAGCAGTTCGAGAAGACTTACCAAGAACACTCATATTCGACGACGTATACTGCCACGATCAGACTTGACACGCATCATGTCCAAAAATATTTTGGTGTTCCGGCATCATTTTGGAAGCTCTCGATAGTGACGAGCTATGGCAGTAGCAACGCGACCTACCAAATTGGACCAACTTGCGCGAAGCATTTACTTGCCAGCAAAGAATCTCTGCGCGTGGAATGTGCCGTCAGCGGATCAGGGTTCGTTCATCATTATTACAGTGTGGTGCTCAATACGTAATACAGTACACCCGAAGCAACAGCAGGAGCAGCTTTCGCTAGCTCAGCCCTGGTGCGATGCTTCATACTGCATTCCTCACTAAAATTAATTTTTATTTTGCAACAAGCCACGGAGACAATTTTTTCCGCGTATAAATTTTTTCTCCGTTATTATTGCACGTTTAGGCGCAGTCACTTTAACCTGCTTCATCCGGCTTATTTTTTTAATTTGCAGATTACACTTCGGAGATACATACGACGTGGTAATCGGTCCAGAAGGCTGGGCTCCTCAGTCGGATACGACGAAGCGTAACTTGTCGATTCCTTCGGAGCAGCGCAAAGCAAATGATGAGTATTGGCAAATAATTCGCCCGGGAAGCGTGGTTTACATGAGGTTGGCGTTCTACGCCACGGACACCAGCGGAGGTTCGTTGGGTTCCTGCCGGAATCATCTGGCCCAGAAATTCGGCACTTTACTGGACAGTGGGCGCGTGACTGACTGTACGGTGGTCTCGCGTGATGGCAAGCAGTTCGCCGTGCATCGTGCTGTTCTGGCTGCGCAGTCACCAGTCTTTGCTGCCATGTTCGAGAATAACTGTATTGCGGTGACTCTCGGAACGCTACATCTCAGCATACCGCTACATCTCAGCTCTCTGCCGGCTGATCCGAAAAGGCTGCGTTTTGAAAGAAGCTTGCGAATATACAAAGTACATAGCAGGCGTTTAGCACATCAGCACCAACAGATTTGATGTACAATAACCGCTAAAAGCGCGTGTAGAGCGAAGGGTAGCTGGCCTGCCCTTCTCTGTGACTTTTTTGAAAGGGAGAAGGGAGCTGCAGGACACCTGCCCTTCCCTGTGTCTTTTTTGAAAGGGAGCAGGGAGCTGCAGGACACGAATACCTACCGGTTGAAAAAGGCGATTTGGACCGTGCTGCAGGATCGTCGCAGAAGACGGTTTGCAGGGAGGAATGGGTCTGATTCAGACCGCTTGCCATTTTTATGGCTTTTGGACCGTTCTGCGAGGCTGCGATGTAGCGATTTGAGAGTCACCGCAATACAGTTAATAACATGACTGAGAAATCATCAGGGAACTGCACAATCAACGATATCAATGGGGTTGTCTTGGAGGCGCTCGTCAAATTTGCCTACACGTGTGCTCCGCTGGAGTTGCCGGCGGACCTTTTGCCGGACTTGTATGACGCTGCGGAAAAGTATGATATGGATGATCTGCGGAGCCACTGCGAAAGTGTGATGACGGGCGCGATCAACGTGGACATTGCATTGCGCTACCTCCTGTTTGCGAAGGAACGCGGTTTAAAGAAGTTGAAGACGCAAGCCATAAAGTTCCTTTATGACCATAGCAGTGAAATTTGAGCGCTAGTGGCATTTATATGAATTACGTATTGAACCATCGTGTGTTTGTACTTGACATCTTCATATCGATTCTTAACGGCATTAACCATCATCACTGCAATAACCGGACACTACTGCTTAAAACTTAATTTCTTATGTGTTTGTTGTAGGACTGCTTAACTGACTTACTACATGAAATGTGCGAACGCGATATTTTTGTTTCTATCCTCGTGTTCTTCGCTCTCGTGATCTTTTTAGAAATCCTGTTTCTTTTTCCTCTTTGTTTATGTTATGTACACTCCCTGTTTCATAAACTTAGTTGCGATTCTGACCAACTGCGGATACAATAAAAGATAAAAATAACAGTTCAGCCGTTCAGTTAACGTTCGTATTTCATACCATATTGATTCTACGACAAAATTTGACGCGCAATATCGCAAAAAGATCAACTACTTTTTTAATTTGCAAATGATAATTTTAACAACAAATAGCTGCTTGACTTTTTCTCAGATTCGAAATAATGCGTGACAAATTTCGAAAGATAAAGAAATTTGTGATTAACTAACAAGACACTTTGGAGTTTGGACTGGTGGAAGTTGCCAGAGGCGATGATTTCCTTGGCTTGATTGATAACTTCATTTCATGTTTGTTTTTTGCAATAATGATAACCAGCTGTAAAAGTAAAAAATCCGACACCATGTCTACGTACCTTCCGGTCACGATAAGACAAAATGTTGCTGATGGCAGACAGAATTTCTGTTTTACCGGGACCGTTAGGGTAGGAATGCGACAGTTGCCCTAATAACAGTACAGAGGCATATCCCCTCTACAGTGCATCAAGTTTCGTTTTGCAGGAAGTTTTCATTAGCGGTTGAATGCCCAGAACCTGCGGTTCGTTTCGAAACACAGAGTCAGAAACTTCCAACTGTACCTAAGATGATCTGATACTTATTTCAACATTTGCAAGAAATATTGAAATTCCGGTTTAGCTTAAAGCCCCATCGTATCAGCTGTACGACCATCTTCTGTGACAGCGGATCAGCCATCTCAAAGATCCCGAAGAAATCCCAAATTTTTTTTTAAAATGAATTTCAAAAATTTTGAAATTGTTATGCTCTTATGTCCTGGGTTCGATTCCTACTCTGCTAGTAGGTTTGATTATTTTTATCTCAGAAATCCAATCAGAAAAGAAGTATAAAAATTTTCGAAGTTAACAAAAAAGTTTTCCAATACCTGTTAAAGTCTCCGTTAATGAAGTTTAGCCACTACAGCTGCAGTACGAGTAATAATAATAGTCAATAGAAACAGACTAACAGCCATAGCGAGCCGGATTACGCGAAAGCAGATAATAAATAACGGAAAATGCCGTTTTTATCTTAATCTGCAAGCAGTATATCGGCTCATCACGTCATGATTCGAGCCAAATCAGCGAAATTTATTTTCGGTGACTTCCGCACTGAAAACACCTTCTCTATTTCTTTAACACGAATGACTTAGCAGCAGTGTTGAATGCTGCATATTTGAGTTAGTCATGGGATAGAAGCGTTTTTAGAAAATTTGAAAAACACAAAATAACTGGTATGGTTACTGACCTTTTCATAAAGTTTGTCGAGAATTGTCCAGTTGCGCAAGAAATCTTCGGGATAACCGACCATCCGCAGTGTATGGTTCAGCTTGTCCACCGCTGCGTCCTGCGTTGCGCGGTCCATCCATTCCGCTTTTAAAAGGACCGCATCGCGAACCCCTTTGGCAGTTTCCGATGTCAACGCTTTCGCCTATTTAGCAGAAATAACCATGAAGACCGTGTTTCGTAAATTAGCGGAACTTCCCGGTTTATAATCCCATCCCGAAAACGCTTCCGCAGTACTGCCATCATTATAGCAGGACTCCCACAATTACGCTTACGAAAAAGAACGGCCCCGGGTGACTAATTGACGAAATCTCGGAACCTAACAAATTTTCTAATGGACTTCGCATTTTGTTGTTAGAACAATCAGTAGACGTGCAGATGCCAGCTTGTCGGGTAATTTCCTACGTAAAGGTACAGTTAGCGATTAAAACCAGTGCTACGTCACTGCGTTTAACGCATTGTCTGATGCGCTCGCAGTTGGATTGCTCCTTACTGCACCGACCGTTTTCTAGCACATTCCGCCAGGCAGTTACGATTATGCTCATCAAAATATCTGGCATGCATCGTTATTTTGAATTTTTCGCTGTATTGAATCGTCAGAAATTACCAGACAAGCTTGTGCATTCGTACCACCCATTTATTAGCGATCGTTTTTCAGTAATTAAAAAGCCCTATGCTATTGCTGACCCTTTGTAGTGCGCTGTCTGGAATGTACGCCTTGAGGAACATCCCCGAGACGGTCAACGGCATGGCCTCTTTCACGAGCTTGACGCACTGGTCCGTCCGTTGATTGAGATAATGATGGACGGCACTCCACCATAACCAATCGGCCATTGTCGCCCGTCCAGCGTTGCCTTGCGCTTCCAGCTGCGCCATCGTTTTGTCCAGATGAAGAAGGTACGCTGTTCTGGTGTCGCCTAACGTTGTTGCCGTTGTGGCTTGGAAATTCACCTTGGAAGCTCTGAGCATGGCGTTGAAAAGCGACAGAAAGTTGGCTAGAAACTGTGAACGGTATGGCGCTGTTGAAAGGTCACTGAACGTTATGCGCTTCGAACCGTCTAGGTCTCCTGTTGCACCCTAAATAAAATTCATTAAAATGCCAAAGAACTATATCAGGAACAAGTGAAACAGCTTTTGATCAATCGACAAAAATCCTTTACAAAGATGATTTAATTTTTAAAAAAAATCAAATCTAAGGTGAAGTATAATATTTTCTTGAAACAAAATAATGATCATAATAATAATCGTAATAGTTGAAAACATAATAATTATTATGAAGAAGTAAACCCGCTGAATCAAGGCTGGCCTGTAGGCGCACCGCATTCAGCACGGCTTCTAACATGATGGCTCCCTCCAGCCGGCTTTCAACAGTGGACCATTGGACGCTCGTATTAGTGGCATCAATCAAACTCTGCACGAATGGAACCCAAGCTCGATATAGTTTAACAAATGTGTTATTAATGGTGTTGTTGACATGAGCGTTTTCCAATGCACTTGGCTCCCACCGTGCGGCCCGCTGCACAAAACGTTCGGGCGCCATTAGGTACAGGATCTGCTCGTCGCCGGACACGACATCGTCGGCAACGTACAGAAGGCCGAAAGTCTGAATGTTGTTCTGCTGCAGCCGAATGAGAGTGTCTTCCAGAAGAAAGGCGGTCACATTGGCATGGGCATCGAGGAGTGACCCTCCGCCCAGCATGTCGTCCACGGTGCGCAACAAGGTTTGGTAAGGGAATCCTGGGGCTATTAAATTGTTGATCATCAATTTTATCTTTTTGTGCTGCGATGTTTTTTCTGGCATCAGAAGCGTGTTTACTATACTTCTAGTATTTACGACGTCGCAAAAAAAAACGCCCTTGCTTGAAATGCCACGCATTGTAGTGTGCGGCTTGTAATAAGAAAGTTTTATGTGGACCAGGCGGTCCAGTGGGATCTACCGGCCGTAATACGTAAAAATTATTTCTGACATGGGACGTTGCTGAGGAAGTCCATAGCATAATAAAGTACACAAAGGTTCCGTCAAAACAGTATAGTATGGCGATAATTGAGAGAAATTTTTGGGAATTATATGCCGAATCCCGCCTGCCTCCAGAGTCCAGCTGTCGTTGTTTGCTATATTTTCTGTTTAAATTGAGCACGAGTTGTATAGCGTGCCCCAACCGTATAAGATACTTCGAAGTACTGAATTTCTGGCTCAATGTAACGGAAGAATACAGTAAGTAGCCGCGCTCTGGAGTGGACGGCTGTGCTTCTTATTCAATGCTATACAGCGGAAGCGTTTCTAATAAGAACAACATGGAAGTATGGAGTTTTTAATGGATAAATGATTAGCCAAGTTGACGCGTGCTTTGCTTACCAATATCGTGCGTTCGGTTGGTGCACTGGTTGTAGATATCTATTGCTTTCTTTTCAGTGGGATTGCTGTAGTTTCTACTTTCAAAGAGTTCTGAAAAATAAAATGAAGTCAGCACCAACACAATAAAGGCTTTTCTTGTATGCCACACGAACTGTAACAATGTTCGGTATTTTTGTTTTAAATCCGTTATGTCAGTAACAGAGTTAACCGATCGCCACCAGACCATAAAATACTGCACTGGAAACAAAAGCGCGATACTAAAGGTATTGCGTATCAGTCAGTGCCCAGTCAGCATACAGTGCACGCGTAAGCGTAGAAATCCACGCAGGGATCGACGGTCGCATCCATAGTGGAGATTATATCGCGGGCTGAAAGAATCGCAAAATAAATCACTGAATACCTGTCGACTTAGTCATTGGCAACCAAAAAAAATTCAAAAAGCAGTTTTATCAGAAATTTATTCTCGTATGATCGGCTCAGGAAATCACCGCTAACAATTGATCTCCGCATATTTACTGCATCTCCTGAATTATTTGCGGGTTTTATACGTACCAACGTTTTGGCATGGCTCAGATGTGCAAATAGACTTTGACGATTGCTGGTTGTCGGTTGTTGCTATGCTACCAACACCGAACCCGAATCCAATAACTAGCATGAGGAGCATTGTTTTCGTTTTTCTCCGTAACACATGGATAGGAAAATTGTTTGAGACTTCTTAAAAACTGATAATGTTTCTTCAGGGCTGGAAAAAGACTGAGCAGGTTCGGTTGCTAACATCCGTCGTTGCGTTGTAACCAGCAATAGTCACCAGAATGCTTTCGCAAAATGTAACGGTTCTTATGGCAGGAAGGAAGTACAAGCCCATACGGAAACAAGAGCACAACTATTCGTGAGAATTCACCGTTGAGATCGGCTTAAGCCAGATACGCGGCATGCAGTGATTTCTCACGCATAGTAGTGCTCTTGTTTTCGGATGGGCTTGTACTAACACGTATCTGCCACAGGCGATATTACTTCTTAGATTTGATTAATGTTTAAATTTCGCGAATGCCGTTCGTAACAGTACTGTCCATAAACCGTAAAAGTAGCAAAACGGGCACTATGTCACCCTTCTGGGCACGATTCGGCTGAAGGCAGACAGAATCTACATATTACCGGCATCGTTACGGCCGGAATGCGACAGTGGCACACTATAAACACGTACAGCATATCAAAAAATTCGTTTTAGATGGATTTTTTATGTAGCGATTTTAATGTCAGGAACACGTAATTCCTTTCGAAAAAGAACCGAGAACTCCAAACATTCTGCAAATTTTAAGAGGATTATAAATTTTGATACTGATACAGTGATATTGATACAGTGATACTTATTCTACATTTGCAAGAAATAATGAAAATTCGGGTCCGTTCGTATCAACTTTATGATCACTTTTTGCGACAGCGCATGGAACCCCTCCCAAATCCATGTAAAGTCCAATGGTATGTGACTGGAGGTCACGTTCGGCTTTAGAAGTCCATAAACTTTCAGGTTTTTGATGCAAGCGTCTTCCGTACTCGTATACAAGTTCGCGTGTCGCGTTAAATACCACTTTCGGCAATCATCCGGCGGGCCCGTCGAGTTCTTTATCTGGGGGTGTTTTGATTGTCGAAGAAAATAGCTGAAATTCTAAGGATTCTAATGTTACCAAGTGTATGCTGATCTGACGCGGACGTGTTCGGATATCTCCCTACTTGCAGCTTTCGCTACGGCATTCTACTGTCTTCCGGGCGCCGCTCCACGGCAACGTGTACATAACAAAATATAGAGACGAGGTAAAATGGAACCAGATGATACAGTTTTGTGGACTACGATTCGCAAGTTACTTTCGTCATTATCGTCCACTGAATTTGTTCCTTTAACACTGTTGTATGTAAATGTCGATTCACTTTTACTGTTTTGGTGCCGCTAATCCTTAACAGGACTGGCTGACCAGACTCAGACCAGGATCGTTTAACCGAATCTTCCGCTATTTGCGAGAAAGGTCAAGATTGTGAGTTTTGCATACCGACGTTCCTAACCGTCAGCTTACAACGTTTGTTTGCCGATATTCAACAAAACGATCTAGCGCTCTGTTAATTAAAACAATGCAATGCATCTGCTTATGGTGCATATTTGTCTAAGAATAAAACAAGAAGAAACGCCCCACCGTATTTGTTAACGTTCATTTGTGCAAACACACACGGAACCACAATTTCAACCCTGAAATGATCTGAAAAAAACATCGCTTGGTTCCGTGTTGCGCTGCTCAGTCAGCAATTAGCGAGTGCGCGGATGTTCTTGTGAATCGCGTTTTGCGTTCTTATTCGCGTTGTTTAAAATTTACTGTCTCACCAGGGCACATAGGGTCCTCCAAATTCAGAAAAATTTCATATTTTGTAAAATGGTAGTATACTATCGTAGTATGGTTAAAAAAATATTTTCATCTGCCATGGTCAAGAGGGCGTGGCCAGACAGCATTTAAAAGTTTGCATATTATCACATACTATGCAATGCAGTGAGTGGAGTTATTCGTAATTAGTTTTATATTAAATTTTTACTGTAGCACCGTGAACTTTTGAAACTGTTGAGGGGTGATGTAAACGAAGACCACGTGCGGCGACTCGTGTCACTGCTGCCTAAATACACATTTTCGAAAATCTGTTATGAAATGCAGTACGAGTACATATCTGCTAATTAGTAAAAGAAGTTTTTTGCACGGTTTACTCGTACATACAATACTAACTGATAAAAAATTTTCGAAAATGTGTACTGGCAGCAATGACACTAGCTGCCGCACGTGGGCATCGTTTACAAGACAACTGGACCGCTGCAAAAGTTCACGGTGCTACAGTAAAAATTCAATATAAAACTAAATACGAATAACTCCGCTCACTGCATTGCATAGTATGTGATAATACGCGAACTTTTAAATACTGTCTTGCCACGCCCCCTTGACCATGGCAGATGAAAATATTTTTTTAAGCATACTACGATAGTATACTACCATTTTACAAAATATGAAATTTTTCTGAATTTGGAGGACCCCCATGTGCCCTGGTCAGACTTGTTCAGTTAGCAAGCTACATATATGCGGCATTTTATTGTGTACAATGTTGAGCAACCGACATCCGATAGTTGAATGCGGTGTATTGTACTGACTGCTATAAGCATCTCATGAAACTTACAAGTATGAAGTAGTTAGAATCGCCGCCGTCTTAAACGACGACCGGTGAATTTGTGACTCGCGCTTTTGCTTACTAATGCGCGATGGTATTTTGCGATTACTCTGGCCGTCGATCTGTCATAACCCACGTCATTTCACTCATCGGCAAGAATTCCGACAAAGTTACAAGTCCTCGTCACTCACCCATACTGTTAATTAAGCAGCGGAACTAGGCGGCAAAATCATAGAAGACATTTACGCGTTCTCACAGCGCGTTGTACGTACTGCATCGTGCTTACTTAAGCTGATGCTTTTTGGATGTTTAGTGTTTACTTATATTTTGTTTATTGTATGATCACCATAAAGCAATTTCTCTGATTATTTCCACCATCATTCTATCGTTTATTGTCCATCGGCTGATTGACTTTCTTCTTGGAGCCAGTTGCTGTCTCTAACCGTCTAACGTTTGTTGCAGCAGTTTTCTCAGGATGGCTGACGAAACTCCAAAGGCAGCGCCATCCTGTCTGCATCCCACCGTCTGGTATTTCGAAATTCCGGTGGAGCACTTCGACAAATCGTACCAGGCACTGGTGACGACATATACAGCGATCATCAAGCCAGAAACGGTCAATGCCCACAAATATTTCAGCATTCCACCGACACCTTGGAAAGTGTCACTGGTGATGAACCAGTCTCTCGCAACCTCCACTTTCAGCGTTACACCAACATGCGAGAAGGGCGTATTATCCTGCCGGGAAAACCTGCTCGTTGAATGTACCGTTAGTGGCACAAGGTTCGTGTAACTCACGCAATTTTACTATTTATTTTGAACTTATTAACCGCGTTATGAGTCTGCTTTTGGCTCATATTGTGCAGTAAGAATTTTCCGTACACCGGACTCTGTGGTTCAAGTTCATCCAGCGGCACAGTAACTGCCTTGTACAGCAAAGTGCCTTGTACAGAATCTGTGATCGTGTGATTTATTTTGTCGCATTTTAAATTTTTAATTGACAGTGGTCGCCATGGAACTACATACAACGTGGTCATCGGCTCGACCGGATGGCATGGTGAGTCAGAAATATCAATCGGCCCGTCATCGATTCCGGTAGACGCCGCTCACGATCACGATTACTACGAAAGCACCCACTATGTTATCCGTCCCGGAACCGTGATTCATGTGAAGCTGGAGTTTTACGCGAAAGATTCGGAGAAACAATCGTTCGATGCTTGCCGAAATCGGCTTCTGCACAAGTTGGGCGACCTCTTACGAAGTGGCCAGCTAGCGGATTGCCAACTGGTTTCGCGTGATGGGAAATCTTTCGCCGTGCATCGTGTTATGCTGGCTGCTCAGTCGCCGGTGTTTGCCGCCATGTTCGAAGATCAGATAAAGGAGAAAATGTCGGGAGAATGCAGCGTCAAGGATGTGGACGGAGCTGTCTTGCAGGCTCTGATCACGTCTGCCTATGCGTGTGGCCCACTGGAACTTCCGGCCGAGAATCTCCCCGATCTGTTTGACGCAGCTGATAAATATGGTATGGATGATCTGCGGCTGCACTGCGAAAACGTCATGATCAGTGCATTAAGTGTAGACAATGCGTTGCGCTATCTTACATTTGCGAAGGAGAGAGGTTTGAAGGCTCTCAAGCAAAAGGCTGGAAAATTTATCGGTGAACATAGCGACAAAATTTAATTGCTGGGAGTTGATTCGCTTATGTATGGATCGCGTAATGTCTACCAGACAGTGGATGCATTAAATTATTTTAGATTTTCCATCGTTTCCTTTTTGTTAGCGCAGACACTTGTTGAGCGAATAAGTCTAGCTTACATTGTGTAGTTTTGTCGCTACAAATTTGGATCAAACCAGTTGGATGCAGTCCCAATCGAGCGTTTATTTTCTTCAGAAAACACCCTGTTTAGCCGTTTTTGATGTTGTTGTTTCTCCCGGTAAATAGGGAAAATGGAGAATTCAGAAAATAAATTTCTTCGGTACTTCCCCGACAGTATTGCAGTAGCAATTTCGAGCATAGATTTTTGCTTGTCGAGATAAGCTCGTAAAAACCTCGTTAGCCGAATAAACAACAAGACAATAGCAAGCAATAACTACCGGGAAAAAATGTGTGAAAAGTTATTCTCCACAAATGGCAATAATTTGCGCGTATGAAAATAAAAATATGAAACGAGTCTGTATGCCCTATCGTAATGTATGAGTCATTAGCACATGCCAACGTGCCATTATACGTGCCAACCTTGCTAGCCTTTTACCATTATTTAATACAAGCTATAGGTCCGCTTTCAGGGTGCACTCCCTTTTCAAATAATAACCTTCACAAAAAGGCACACGAATAGTGTACACTTTACAGGTATAAGCGTAAAAATCATGTTGCGCAACACTCGTACAGGTTGAATTTAAGAACCGGTTACCTGCAGGGGTTTTGTGTTTTTGGTGTTGAATTCTTTGATTTTTTTTTTTTTGGTTTCCTTCATGTTTAACAACAACGATTATACTACGGTTACAAATTCCAAAAACAACCAAAATCCTCCGATTTACTGTACTTCTGCCCGGCAAAGTGCCTAACACAGCGGCAGCATTTGCCTTCATTATCGCTAAACTAATGCGTTGTTCAAGAAGGCGGTCGATCGGCTTTCTCCAGTCTTTCCTTGAATCAGGCGTCCAATGAAGCTGACCATGTCTTTTGCGGCTTCTCCGAGCACTCCCAGCGTTTCCACCGCGAAAGGGTGGAGCAGATACTGTTCTCCGAGGGAGCGGTACTTTTGTCGCTTCCGATTTTCTGCTTGCCTAGCTGCTGAACCAGCTACTTTAGCTGTCCCTTTGAGGTGTGACTGTGCCAAAGTGTCTGCGCATGTGGCATCCCATGCCAGCTGTTTCCCGTCACGGACGGGAACCAGAGTAACTCCATCCGGCCGTATGCCACTATCTCCTGACATTCCCTTTGGCTCTAGTTCACTAGGAGTACCGGCCACGACTACGAGAAATCCCCGGTGAAGGATGCTGTTTACTTCGGAATGCATACCCCATCTACCTTTGTTGTACAAACAGGCCAAGCCGTGGTGACCATCCGGGGTCACTGGAAACGAGCATGCCTGACAATCATGATGAGCTACCACAGGTAGGCCAAACCTCAATCCGATGGCGATTCTTACTTGTTCATCGGAAAGTAGAGTGCCCAGGTTGGCAGCCGGTAACGCATATAACCAAGCTGCAGACTCTTTTTCGGAAGCGGCCAGCAAGAGTGCCATCTCCTTGTCGCTTCCGCTTTCCATGGTTTTCAGTCTCCAGCGTGAATAAGCCAATTCCACCACTGGCCAGTCCCAGTTCCTTTGAAATTTTCGAGAATTTTCCACTGGTAATTCGCAATGGTAGGTATCAGTCCATAGTTTGATGGCTTCGCTGAGACCCGACAACTGACAGTCAGGGAGAATTTCTGAGCAGATGGTCTGCACCGAGGAAGCCGAAGCGATGAACGCTGACAATGCTAGCTCCTCCGTACGCCGTATACCCAGTCCTCCTCGTCCTACTGGCATGGTCATTTGTGCCCACTACGTTTCACTGATATCCGCATTAGCGACTGAAACGTTGCTTTCTTCATTAAACTGTCAAACTCACGTAAAACATCTGGGCACATATATGTTTGACTTGTTCTTAATATGTACAGCAACTTTGGTGCACTGAGACAGTTCCGCAGTAAATACAGTGCTTGTTGGCACGGTAGCACTTTCAGCTTTTCAATCAACCTTTCGATTTCAGATATCTTAGCGCGTAGAAATGACGGAACTGCAAATACGGAAACCGGTGCGCCCAGAAGAGATAAATTCTCATTCTCACGTACTTCCCAATCCGGCCACTGCCACAGGAAACGATGTTTGTCAGCTGCACGTTCTTCTTCTGTTCCGCCAAAGAAAAATATTTCACATTTTTCATGGTTTAGAACCAAACCAATCGCTTTTCCCTCTTCTTCGATCCTCTGAATGTCTGCCATAACGACTTCCCTTTTCCGGCCAATGTTACGTCGTCAAGGAAGCCTCTTAGTTATCTTAGTTCGCTTCGAAGGCCGTTTAGCAGTGGCAACGTCCCCAGGCAGTATCCCAATGGACCAGCATTATCTCCTTGCTGAACTCCCCATTCGGAAGCAATCACATCTTCACCACATACCAGGTGGGAAACTGGTGCGTATGATTGGTGGAAGTAGGGGTAATATTGTGGTATGTCAGAGCGAACGGCTTCCAAAACTGCGGTCCTACTGATCATATTGAAAGCGTTTTTGAAATCCAGTTTTACCATGACGCGTGCCTCGGCGTGTTCCGTCTCCAGATAACTTCGTGTTGCATGTACGACAGCCTCAGCGCCTCCTTTTGTTCCATATCCTAACTGAACTGGTCCAAATTTTCTGCCCATTTCTTCCTGGCATCTAGCACTGACAATTTTAGACGCTAATCTACGCAAAACTTCACCAACTGCGATCGGACGAATTCCACCAGCTGGCTTTTTCAGGGCTACTAAATTTGCTCCAAACAAAAATAGACGCACGTCAGCAGGAACTTTGCCATTAACCAGAATATCCAACAGGCTGGTCATAGCTACACATAAGTCTCCTTCTACCGCATCTCTTCGCTCCAGCATGTCTTTAAGGTGCTGCGGTTTCATTCCCATAAACCCACCAGCTGAACCCGCTGGCATATTAAAAACGGCATCCAGCAGCTCTGTGGGGGTTACACGAGGGACAGGAAGAGCGGGTACAGGTGGCTCTGGAATAACTGTTCCAGGCGGCCGTGATGGGTGTTTCTCTTTTAGTGCAGCAATGGTCACTTCGTTCATTTCTGCCATTGATTCTTCGGACGCGAGGAACTTAATGATTTCCCTAGTCTTCCCGTTTTGAAACATCTGTGCAACGCGCTTGCGGAGGTTATCAGCGTCGCTGCGGTTTTCTCTGCGGTTCCTCGAAGAAGCACTGCGTGCAGGATGCCCACGCATCGCCTCTGGTTGGTGTTTCCCATCTGTTTCTGCCAAGCTCTTGAGGTTCCTCTTTACTACTCTACTACACTCAATGATTCTTTACGGAGGGCTTTCGTTTCAGGCAGGGCCAGGGCCTCTCTAGAGAAGAGCAACACAGCGCACCAGGATTCAGTATCATTCTGTTGAACACAGCGACGGACCCGCTTCAGAAACTCTTGTGTGCATAGGAGACGTGCTGCTTTGGGGATTCTCGCGGAAATGGGGACACGTGGGGTCGCTAAAATCTTGCTAAGGCGGGATACTGGCGGCTGTGCGGACATGTTTACCGTACTCTTCGTGGTCAAATGGTCTTTGGAGGTCTTGAAACGCATGTCGAGCGTCCCATCCTTCTTGCGTCTTAACGGTAGTTCCCCGCTCGCAGACATGGTAGAACCCAAAAAGAGGGAAACAGGCAGCAGGCGCACCACACAAAGCAAAATGTGGAAAAACAGGAGACTTACGAGAACTCCATAGGTGTGTCGCTTGATGTCTGCGGGACAGCTGCCACCACACAGCCTCTGGAGATTAGCAATCTAACAGACTTAGGTCCCGCAGCCACCCTCCATACTGAACAGCGGGAAATTTGCCATTCAGGGGCAAAATAAACAGGCCCAAAAAACACAATCTCTTATCAATAAAATACTTCAGTGTTAATACTATACGATAAAGTAAAATGTCGCTATTGAGTCTTAATTAGTACTTCACTGTTTTTTTCAATTTTCAATAACCGTTGGCTAGGCACTCTTTGATTTTTTGTACGTACTCTTTACACGAGCAGTGCAAATACAGTGCATATTGCCCGCTACATAGTACATACTACTAAGAACTAACCGGTGACTGCGATCAACTTTTAAAAAAAACAATGTTACCTCTCCAGTGCGATCATTTCTCTGAAATGCGATCTGTTACGACGGTAACAGACTTTTTCGATCACATATTAGGCGGAATGTTAGCTTCTGTAGGCTGTATTATAAAGAGTCCGGGTTCAGTAATTAAATTAGTTTGTTTAATTTGCTAGCTAGAACTTCTGTGGACAAATTTTATTAGTATCCAAATTTTCGTAAGGATATCGTAACAATGAGCATTTCTATATTGCTTTTGCAGGTCGTGGTAGTGACGTGTGCACTGGTAAGTTTTTGTATCTGTAATCGGTAATAATGTACAAGTGGGCCTGAAATGAAGTGGGCCGAGAATGCTAGAATGCAAGCATGCCGGGATACGAGGCTCCATACTGCGGGCCTGCTTGTATGCTGGGCTGCGGTATGCGGCGCTGTGGAAATGCCGAGCTGCGTATATGCTGGGCTGCATACTGCGGGCCTGCTTGTATGCTGGACTGCGGTGTGCGGCGCTGCGGGAATGCCGGGCTGCGTATATGCAGGGCTGCGGTCTGCGGCGTTGCAGAACTTGCGGTTGCGGGACTGCGGTTTGCGGGACTGCGGCGCTGCGGGACTGCGGCGCTGCGGGACGGTGGTACTGCGGCGATGCAAAATGTATTTATATGGTGTTGCTAGGTCTTGATATTGAAATTGATATGATGCCACTGGCTTTGAACTTTCGCGTATGCATTTTTTTCGTATGGTACTTTTTAAAGCAAAATGGCGTTAAAATTGAAAGAATTTTTGAATTTAATCGATGATTGCGATCAAAAAGCCTTCGAGTTTTGCATCGAGCACGGTCTTTTGAGATCGGAAATTGTATGTCCTGCTCATAGTGAAGAAATACTACGCATTACACGTAGAAGTGATCGTTCACTCTTCCCATGGACATTTCGGTGTAGTCAGCCACCTTACAGCAAGTATTCTGCGAAGACTGGCACTTTTTTTGAAGAATCACATCTTCCACTTCATAAAGCAGTTCAGTTGATGTACTTTTGGGCTCATGAAATTTTAACCAACGAAAATTGTGTTTCCATTTTAATTTTAGCGAACACACTGTCGTCCAGGTGTCATTCATGCTGCGAAATGTATGTGAAGCAAAAATAATTAAGGATTTGTCGGTTGCGAAAATTGGTGGCATTGGAATGACAGTCGAGATTGACGAATCGTTAATTTTTAAAAGAAAATACAATCGTGGAAGACTCTTGTCAAACGAAAGAAAACAGCAATGGGCGTTCGGGGGTATTTGCAGAGAAACAAAAGATGCTTTTATTGTTTTTGTCAATGACAGGGCTGCTGAAACATTACTGCCAATTCTACAAGCACATGTTTTGGAAGGCACACTAATTATGAGTGATAAGTGGCGGGCATATTGCCGCATTGAAGAAATGGGGTATGATCACCTAACAGTGAATCATTCTGAGAATTTCGTGGACCCGACTACCGGCGCATGTACAAATCGCGTAGAGAACATGTGGCGATGGCTGAAAGATTCTTTGCCATCAAATGGAACTACGGATAAGATGGCCGATTCGTATATTTGTGAATTTTTATGGAGAAAGAAGTATGACGCAAATCATGATGGTTTCGATAATATTATGAAGCATATTGTGGAATACTGTAATCATGAACTGGACGTTTCGAATGATGAGTAAATAAATAAAAGAAAGATCGTAAATAAAAGAAATATCTTTGTACTAGCGAATCCGATGGAGTGAGGAATAAGGTTAATAATAAATATAATCAGTAAAGTAGGAATACGATTTTGTACGATAACGATGCTGGCCTAACTTTTTTGTAAGATAAATTTTATACGTACAGTTATTTTCTTTTGTGTTTTTTGCGCTATAGTACAGTACGATTACGAAGTATCTGTATTGTGCATACTGTACACACTGCACACAACACGCATGCGTTAATAGTGAATACGTGAATATTTTATACGTACAGTTATTTTCTTATTTTCTTGTTTTCTTGTTTTCTAGTTTTCTTATTTTCTTATTTGCTTATTTGCTTATTTTCTTATTTTCTTATGTGTCTGTACATACTGTACTGTCTGTTGCCTGCATACTGTACAGACAACACGCATGCGTGGATAGTGAATACGTGAAGCATTATGTACACATAGCACGTACGTATGTCAATAAATATGCACAAGTAAATATGTACAAGTTGCATACTAGCAAAACTTTAATCGTTTAACTGAGTTTTGTACAATTGTTGTACGACGTATATGTAGCTCAAAATTAGTTTCATAATCCGATGTAGCAAAATCGAGATTTTTTTCCAAAATCCGAGGATTGATAATCCGTAGCTTATTGCCTTCTTTGAAAAATTGCGAATAGTCTGCGATTGTGTCCTGGAACATAACACCGCGAATTTTAGCACTTTGGTCTGCTATATCGAAGGAGAGGAACTCTCCAGCCTTTCCGTCTTTGAACCATTTCGTGGGTCCTTTTACATTTGAGATGACCCCATCGATCGTACAGCTAGCAATAAAAATATTTAGTCAGTTATCTCCAATCTATATTGTGGATCGTGCTATGTTCTAAACAAAAAACAATAATTCTTAATTTTATTAATAATTTCAAAGTAATTTCTGCATTGATAATAATAGTGATACTAATTAATGTTATGTTTTAACAGCAGTCGGTTAAGTGTATTGTCATGGTGCAGACCGACAGCATTACTTGGCTGATTCCAGATTCAGTTCGATAATCAACATTTCTTTCGACGTGCGAAAGTTTTCTCGTTTAATGCCAATCGGTTCCCATTCATCTACCATTTTTTGAATTCTGTCTGCGGCGGTATCGAGTAGTTGGAAACTTTGAATGAACAGAAATTTTCTAGAAAATTATAGCGGCCGTTATTATAGTTTCTGAACAGAACAGTTATTAAAGGATTGTAAATTTGTTATAGAAGTTTATTGTTATCTTACTCCGGTGAAGTGTGAATCACGCTGACGTTTATCAGTTTTGCGACTTTGGGAAGAACTGCTGCTTCGATTAAAGTATTTAGACTTCTGTCGATCTGGACATCTGCAGAAAACATGTCTGTGTAAATATTATCAAAAATACGAAAATCAGTAAATAAATATTATCAATATTGCTTCCGCACTCGATGTTAAATTAAATGCGTCCTGTATTGTTAACAGCCATGTTCCGTTAATGTGCCGTTTATGGCGTACGATGACCAGATCGCTTTGTAATACGTCCCCGTTTATGATTTGCTGCAAATACACATAATTTTAGTATGAAGGTGTTTTTCTTACGAGTATTCTAATGAATATATTTATTACGAGAATAAACCTGTATGACAGGCGTCTGGTTAGAAGGCAAAGCCGTGCACGATATGTCTTCTTCATCTGGTAGATTGATATCCTCGAGAGAAATATTCATTTTGGCAGCTTCATTCTATAAGTATATTTTTCCAACCAAAGATATGGTGCTTGAAACACTTCATAACACTTCACTTGAAACACACTTGAAACACTTCATGAAACACTTCCACTAGCATAAATTTCATGTAGATCATCAAGAATTCTATAATTTGTTGAGTGACCTTTAAGAACTAATTGTCAAGGTTACAAGGGAAGATATTTGAGTGCAGCGATAAGTACTTATATGAATACAGTAGTACTACAAGCATTACTAAATGTACAAAATGCACGTATTGCAATGTTTAAAGCTTACGTTAGGCAAAGCAGTTGATACTTGAAACGAAGAATGTATCAATTCCATGACTTGACGTTCCAACATTGTGATTGTGTATGTTGCAAATTTTCCACAGGAAGCAGATTTGCAAACAGAGTCAGTACAACGAAATTGCAGGGATGTGCTTCCATCCACGTGCACAAAATAAACATTGTTGTGTTTATGCCTCTTTTTGGCAATAAGGCAATGCTGTTGTCCGCGAGTAATACAAAGCAACACATCATGTTTTTTTGAAAACTGCATCGAACCAAGCAGTAGATTACGATAGTTTTCTGACCATTTGATTAATATCTGAATAAAAGCCTTACAAATATCAGATGAAAAATTCGCTTGTCCAAGCGCACTGACTGCATCAAAATGTAAGTCGTGTGTGTTTTGATTGCCCTGATATCTACTGCCACAAATCAAAGACTGCATAAAAATCAAATAATTACATTTGATTTGTCCACATTCTGTCGTAAGGTTATGGAGTACAAAATTATTGGTCGCGCCTTTCTTGTTGCACATGAACATGCGGAAATTTTGATTTCGACTGTAAACAGATAAATCCACGCAGTCGATGTATGTGATATTTAAAAGATCAGCTTTAAGTTCGTTCGCTAAACTTTTGTGTTCTTGATTTCCAGCTGCTAAAATGGCAGGCCAAATTAAATGATAGCTTTCTTTGCGATCAGTAGTAGCGTCAAGCACAATAACTTTGTGCGACTTCTTTTCAATCCGATGTATTCGATGATTTGTTTCAGTAAAGTAAGCAGTAATCTGCATTTAATTGTCTGCGGGTAAACAAGCTCGATATCCATATAAAACTTGCAGTAATAGCCAGGTAAAAGAATTTCATAAAAGATCGTTCGGACGGATTTCGTGATAAAAGTAATGAATACATCTCAGCTTGCGTACAAACAAGAAACTTTCTGCATCCGCTGGTCAGAATTTGTTCGGCAAATACGTGTTCGCCATCTTTAAGATGATGAATCGCATGTTGCAACTTAGAGTACCACAACATGGTTATTTGTCTTTGCGGAAAGATAAGCAGACAAATGTAGTGTAGTACTCGAATTTATTAAGTATTTTATAACATCATTGAATTGTCACAGCGCAACAGCTTAATCAGCTTCTGCTGTATGTACAATATGCAGCTGATCTGTGTATCGTACGAAGAAAAACTACGTATTTGCAGTGGCTATGATAATGTAGTTACTGTACGTGTAGCGTAGTCTAGCGGTTACGTTAATGTAGGATAGAGATAATGTACGTACTTATTAAATGAGGCGGAAAATCTGCTCCTTGATATCAGCATATAATTGTGCTTGTGGAATTTCGGCATTCATAGTCTATAATTCCAAAGTATAGGTTTTAGTCCGATTTGTTATTGACGTGCAGTGCGCACCACCGCAGGTCTGCATAATTATGATAATAATTATGATTTTCGTATTCTCTATGACGATATTAACTATGATTTCGTATTTGGACTATAGCATTTCGATTAATATTGTTATTGAATTACCATAATAATACTGGGAACCGGAAAGCACTTTCCACTGAGCCATGTATCGTAAAGTTCATTAAGCTTTGTAAGATACGCCTAAAATGGACATTCATATAATATGACCTTTTATAAACTTCCAATTAAATTGCTGTGCAGTTCGATGAAGCTACTAAAATTTGAGTGACCTTTGTGATGCAACTTTCTTCTTCTCGTCCGCGGCAAAGAATTCGTTGTTGCAAAGTTTCAACCGAAGCTTTGAGATAAATAATCATTGTCACTGGCAGGTGTTTAGCCGAGTAATTTTGAAATAGTTCGTCAAGCTTTTCGTACTCCACATTCTCCAGCAGTTCGCTTAAAAACGTAAAGTAGGTGTTTAAAATAAGTATGCTTACTACAATACTTTCAAATGTGTTGTACCTCGAGCGCAGACTTTCAGTAAAAACGTAACGCGCACTGAAAATTGATCTTTCAAATACAGTAATTGTTTCGGTGGCAAGATTTTTTTGGCGGTCCATCATGCTTTGCATAACCAGCTTTTGAAAGTCAAAGCCGTATTTGCGTGGATCTTTGTACATTAGATCCTGAAAATATATGTGAGCGAACTGAATTACATATTTATCTACTAATTATTTGTCTGCAGGTTAACCAGCAAATTTCGGTTGTCTTTCGTTTTCCAAATTTCAACTGGTTCTTCAAAAGCCTTAAAAGTAATGAACAATATTAGATTTACAGATAAAAAAATTACAGACAAATTAAATTACTTGAATACGGCAGTCTGCTCCCAGATATTTTATGAGATTTGTTTTCCCGCATCCAATATTTCCCTCGATAATAATCTGCATGGATGAGTTATATGAAGAATGGTGAAGTGCTTCTTTATGTTGATAACTTTACTTTAGTTACTTTTAGGCTAGTAAAACATAATACCTGTGAACTCTCCTATGTAGTACTCGTTTCTATGTATTGTAAATTTTTTTTTGTTAGATCGTTGTATCAAGGCAACTAGATTTCGTAAAGTATAAAAAATAATATAATAGAGTCAAAACACAGTAAGGGCTGTTTACAAAACGCAAATACTCCGTAATAATCTGTAGTAAAGTAGTTCTCTGTAGTACAGTATTAACGATAATTTGTAGTACGTGTAGTAAAGTATTTCTCTGTACCACCACTGTCCGCTACCACGACTACTGTCGTAGACACTACTGCCGTATCTCGTAACAGTCCATAAATTCAGGCCTGACCTTTCCAATACACATTTACACGCTTACCCTGTGTATAGTAAAGAAAGCAACTTCAAACAATATAAATACTGTATATAAATGGTAAGATAATAACTGGAAACGCATGGTTTTGTTGCTATGCAGTCAGTTATGTAAAGAACACACTAATGCTATGTAGTACTGATAACACTTTGTGGTACATATCATAAATTTGTGGTACTGATACAGTGTTGTCGAGTCAACTTGCCACCTTTTTTTTCAGTGAGTCGTATCCGATTAGCATACAGCTTACTGTAATACGTAGTACTGGTGGTACATAATACTGATAGTACCGATGTACTTAGTACTACTAATAGTACTTGTTGTTGTTGTTGTTGTTAGGATTTTACAAAGTATTCTGTATTTATTAATAGCCAAATTACTATATCCAAGGCGAAAGCCGCTGCGGCAGCTGCGACCTATTGTACCAATGCACACCAACGTGCATTTGTTAAAAGTAGGTTATAATTAATACAGCACTGGAAAAGGTTAATTAGTTTTCTTAACTACACCAGCAACTACTCGTTAACTGAAAATGAACTCTTCATTGAAAGGAAAGTTGTCCGCCGTATCGAAACATGAGGCTAAGTTCGTGCAGGAAGTCTGCATTAAGAATTTTAGCCACCAGGTTGAAGACTACGTGTCTGGTGATTTATTGAACTGCATAATCTACCATGCTCAGACCAACAGAACAAAAGAGATGGCTGTTTATGGTTCGTTGTTGGCTACAACAGCAACAATTTCCGCAGAGAAAGTTCTGTTGCAAATCACAGAGAACTACAAGAAACAATGCCCAGCCATTAACTTGCTTATTGTTTGCAATCCGGGGGGAGGAAAAAGCACAGCTTTGCAGGACTACTGTACAGACTTTCTGGATGCAATTTCACAAAAAAAGAACAAGAAGTTCTATGATAATCCGCATACATTTGGAGGTAACAGATTTGTGTTTATAAATGGACATATACAATAATTATCCATATACAATAATTATTATTCATCACAATATTTCTTTTAATTTTGTACACCATTAATTTTAATTTTGTACAGTTTAAACACGCCACTGTTTACACACACACTTCTACACTAACGAACGCACTTTCACAAACTATAACTTTGTTTTAGCTTATCGTACATTTCTTGCCGACACCAAAGGATTTGGTTCTGTCATAGCTGACGAAATAGCGGGAACACTCGGTACACTAACATTGGCAGAGGAAAACGCAGCAAGCCTGATGAACAAAGTTTGGGGAGGACAAAGCTTAAACGTGTCGTATAAAACAGCAGGATCGTTGAAGCTGCCTCGCAGTTCGTCTGCGTTTTTCGGTAGTTTGCATCCGCAGCCATTCTGTAATATTCTTAAATCTTGGACAGCCGGAAACGGCTTGGAAGACCGGTTGCTGGTCACTGCAGTCGATAACATCGTTACTGATATTCCGGAAAGCAGAGAAGCAAAACAGCGTCTGCCAAAGCCGGTGGTTGACTTGAAAGAAATGTTTATTAAATTGTATGAATATTTGGACAAACATCCTGGCTTATTACTCACTTATTCGGAAGAAGCTTTCGAATTTATTGCGAAAATATCTTCGGATGTAAAACGGATGCGCATTCTACACAACCAGAAAATTGCCAACGGTGAGTCATCTATGGATAGATCGGATTTTGTTTCGAAGTTGGAGGACAACATTCAAAAAGTTTCAATGCTGTCCCACATATTGAGCTCGTCCTATCAGAGTATGCTTACTATCAAGGCAATCATTATTCCCGATAAAGTACCATTGGAAACAGTGCAAAAGTCATACAATTTTGCTGATATCAGCGGAGGTGCCTTCAATGAATACGAAAACATCAGGCCGGCAACATGTGCTAAACCCACAAATTTCTCTCTTGTTCTTACACCGGGCGAATTTACAACATGTCGTATACATAATGACACATACGGATCCAGAAAAGCATTTGTGAGGCTGACAGAAACCGAGTTTTCTAATGCGGCGCTACAAATGCAAGAGGACGGTCTGGGCATTATAAAAGTTTTGTCATGTCCAACGGCAAAGAAGGAAACGTTCTGTATAAATGCCCCCTGCTGAAATTGACAAGCAGATTTTGATCGCTGCCGGGCTGATTTTCACGGTTTACGAAAGTGCCTACAACGCGGACTTTGCATTACCACCATCCAAGAAACGTGAACTCTCGGAAATAATTGAGCAACTAAAAAATCAAAATCCTTACAACCGCAAAGCTTCAACTGAACGCGGCACCAAACGAGTTGCGCCCGACGATGAATATCCGATGGGAGTAAACATCTATTGACCATCGATTCCTAATACTGTGCACTCGCATTAAGTTTAATAACTACACATTTACGCTTATGTTACTAGTCGTAACGAAAACGAGTCGTACCGTTAAAATTGCTTCATGCTGTTACCAGAATTCAAAACATGGATATTATTTAAAGGTTAAAACATA